CTGAAATACTAATTAAAAATGCATTTTCGATAGTTGGGATCACGAGTCGATTGAAGTTGGGCCCCCATGTAAAACATGGAAGCACTGGACGGCAGTTTCGTCCTACTGTGGGACTCCTCAGCAGTGCGTATCCACGATCCCGCCTCGCGAGATTCGAATCCAGGACCTAACAGTCTCGCGCGAACGGTTAACCACTAGGTTTTTGATGGTGGTCCAGCTTCAATTGGCTCATGATCTCTACTTTGAAGTTACTATATTATCCACAAAACCCCTTCTGACATTAAAAATACATTTGTTTCAGCAACAAAGTGTTTTGATTGTTATTTTCACTTCTTAAACATCAGTGATCTATAATTAAAAAAGAATACCTTCATGAATCAGAACCACACATTCGCAATTATTGATTTGGATGAATGACCTAGCTCTAAAGAAGATATTCAATCGCGATGGGGGGGGGGCGATTCAACGATCGTTGAAATGCAGCATCATGAAAAACTATTACTTATAATGAAAATCACAACAATTCTTGGTGTATATGACTATTCTAAACTAAAAGGTTAAGTTTAATAAAAATGAAACAGGTATGTAAACCGGTAAAATCCTGTATACTACGGTTAGCATCTGATTGTTACAATCAATACTAATCTTATCAGAAATGATGTGATGTATTTGACCAGCTATTAATTTTTATATATTAATGGTCTATCAAAAGTTGACATAATTGTATATTCAATCAGTTATTAACTGAACCAGTTAATAAATAAAGTATTCAGGAATTTCGTTTCCTCCACTTTCATTGACATTTATTTTATGTTGTCATGTTTTATTGGACAAAATATAAATTAAACACAATGAAATCATTTAAATGAAATGAATTCGTTATACAAAGATTCCATTTATGCATTTCAATAATAACTAGATAGTTTGTAAATTTTAGAAAGTGAAGATTATAGAATCTTTACAAATCCACCATGTAAATAGTATATCAAACATTAAATATATTATTGTTATTACTTTGGGATAAATCAATGCAAATATATAAGTTCGATACCAAACTATTCATGTCCGATAAAATTAAGAGAGGATGTAGTAATGATAAGGTATCAACATCACCCAGTACCATCAATGGTTAAGTGGATCACTCCATACATAGTTGATTTCATAGGTTTCTGTCCGAGAAATCCACGTTTGAACTAGTTAACAACGAGTATACTGTTACTTTTTAAATTGTCCAGTCCTTCATTAAAAACTACGTGATTATTCCCAAATTGAAGAGATCTCCACAAATATGTAAACACAGATAAATGTTTATTGTAATTGTGAAGTACAAGTATTTTTTCACCAATATGCTAGCTTTATTTCGTCTCATTTCTTATTACATAGCTATATTATTATTATTACTACCACTGTTATTATTGTTATTATTATCATTGCCATAAACTGAAACTGGTGAGCGAAATTTTAGCAAAGTTGATTTTTAAGAGATGAGGTTGCTGACTCCATGCCCAACCCTCATCCTTCCACTCCGGCTTCGGACCAGAAGTTATGGACCAAATACAATCAATCATCCTACTACGAGAGAGAATAAACCAACGTCCAGCTGAAGAGGAGATAAGGAAAAGATGTTGTAAGTGGATGAGAATTACCTTGCGGAAATCATCAAACTACATTACGAGGTAAGCGCTAACATGGAATCCTGAAGAGAAAAGATAATGAAGAAGACCAAATAACACACTGCGTCTGGAATTGGAAGCAGACATTAGAAGAATGAACAGAAACTAGAAACAGCTGAAAAGGATTGCCCAGAACAGATTTGAATGCAGAATGCTAGTGGCTAGTCTATGCCCCTCCTCGAGGGGTCACATGCGTAAGTAAGTAAGTAATAAACTGGAACATAAAACTCATAGGTTAATATTCATTTTTGACATAATCATCCAAACTGATTGAACTATTTGGCCACCGTTTTTAACATTCAATATATATTCAACTGGTTATATTATGAAATACTTGTATATTATGCACTTTAGAGAATTATTTACATTATGAAACAGTATAATTTGAAAATGGTCATTATTTTTTAATGCAAACTGATAGATAAATAAAATTCAGTTGATATCTACAATTATGTTACTACAAAAACAATGGCCATTAGTAATGATCATGTTTATATTACAATTACACTCTTTAAAAGTAACATATGAACGTACGTTAGAATGATATCTGATAATAATTGAGTGATGAAATAAATATAACCACATTGTATGATCCATATATTAACATTTCATTGTATAGGCGACATTTTGGTTAGAAAAAGTGTTTGTTGAATGTTGTATGGGAAATATATGAAGGTATATATCAAATAGAAAGTTTCTTAGCTCTAATCTGTAGTAGGTAGGATCAAATAGTTATCTAGTACCGCATAATATTCAGAGATTAACCAAGTATTATTATCGAAATGGGGTTCGGGAAGCATAGAACAGCCGTTCCGTCCTACGATGAGGCTCCTTAGTAATAGACATCCATGATCATGCATACGGAAATCGAACACAGGAAATTCGATTTCATGCGTGAATGCTTGAACTCGAAACCACCGAGTCAGGATCTAATGGTGTATATATTTAACCTCAATCAATTCATGATACTGTGAGGTCACTTTCCAAGTATGTAATTGCCTCACGCCCGATAAAGTCAAATTCCTAAAGGTTACAGTCTCACAGTAGAAATCCTGGGATTCCATTTAGATGTTGGTCATTAGTGAGCACATTATTATTATCAGCATAAAGTTTTGTGGTGATTGTAGAATTTTTCGGTTTCAATCAGTGGTCTAGTTGTTAAGCGTTGATGTTTAAGACCAAAGGTTCTGAACCCTTACCTAGATGCGGGTTCATGAATTCCCATAACTGAGAAGCCCGATACTAAGACGAAACAGCTGTCAAATGCCTTTTGGTTTTCAGGAGTAGTCCTTCAGAGACAAGTACATGGTTCAGACTATGAACACTGATATATGTTTGCAATGAAAATTACTTTCGAAATGTACTAAAATGTTCTTTAAAACATCACTTGATAATCGTACCAATTCTATTCTTACTACTGAATAGTATGAATATGGATTTTCGAAGTCATAACATGAATCCATGACATAATATTTTGAAAAAATAGGGTACCACAGAGTAATGCACTGATAATACAATATAACCGTTGCATCATACCATGAGATTAACTTTGCAAAAGACTTTATACCATAAACATCTCAATTCAATTCATCGATTGCAACAATTTCTTTGAGAAAATGGAAGCCTGCATATCGTCAGAGTACACAGCTTAGAAATTTATGACGAAAATAAAAACAAGTTTCTACTGCTTCTTGACGTCCAATAAATTCACTCTCTGATAACTTATAGACGTACAAAGTACCTTAAAAACTGTTTCGGTGGATTTACAGTATTTATTACGTAGTTTTGGAGTACTTAGTAATAACAGAGATTAAATAAATTCAAGTTCGGAAATCGTACTTTTCGGAATATCATTGGACAGATGTCAACTGCTTTCAAACTAAAGGTCAAGAGAAATAATCAGTATCTGAAACACAATTCATATGAACGAAGGATATTCTTTTCAATGAATTTCTCATCACGTATTCTACAATTATCTCATATTCATGTTAATAATCCATACAATTGACCAGATTGAAGGCAGGGTACATCATTTGGAAAGTGTAATATGTGAATCAAGGTTTGTTGTTTGTCATATATCGAATCAAATCAAATCGTTCATGCTGGAGCTGACTAATATGAAGTTGCTGAATTGAATCAGTTTATAAATGAAATGAAATTGTGTGATCAGTGATGATCAGAATAAATATGGTCAATATGGAGTGAGAGAGAAAGAGGATAATGGAATAAAAATCAGAAATTACGTAATATGTAGAATATTATGAATCAGGTCAGATATAGTAGATAGGGGTGGATACTGAATAAATCTCTCAAAAAGGTTATCAAGTGTAGTAATATTAATAATAATGATAAAGATAGTAATAATAAGATAATAATATTATAAAATTGACTATTAACTAGTTGACCTCGAATTTGGCCATGGTAAAAGGAGTGACTAAACATATTTCTTTTGGATGCGAAGCTCTGGCTTTTTGATCCGAATAGCAATTGCTTCAGCCGTCTGCAGGATTCTCTGTCTGACGGAATTAGGTAAACTGCTGCTAACACGGTATATTATTGCGAAAGATTGCTCCATGTTGGCTGTATGTCCCGTCTGAATTAGATGGTCTAACATGGAGCTGTTAACCGTTTTTAACTACATCTTTGCTTAACCACACTGGGAGGTGCTCACGAGTCTCATTTCATTTAATGTATTCTATTTATTCCATAAACGTATATCAACAACAATAACAAAAATACCCCTCAAACAATCTCTTTGTACTTTAGTAAAAATACAAACCATTTATATGAATACTTGCTAATTCACATAATTGTAACAATTAAGCAGAACTTCATCTATGTTGAAATTTATGCCCTGATAAACAAGAATATTCATTATTCCTGAACTATATGCATCTAATTAAAGATACCATCTATTTGTGACTTTATCATTGTAGAGATTAGTATTTAGTGAGATCTAAATACTCCCAATACATCAGGTTACATAAAGATTTAAAAATAGAATACATTTTAAAATAATCACAATAATCGTAATTTCATGGATTGGTTGAGATTAGACATTAACACCGTTGGATGCCGACTCAGCTATCTCAAGTTTAAGCATTCGGGCGCGAGACCGAAGGCCCTGGGTTCGAATCCCGCGAGTGGGATCGTGGATGCGCATTGCTATGGAGTCCCACAGCCATCCAGTGTTTTCAGGTTCTCAATGGTGATCTAAAATCAATCGGTTCATGATCTAAAACAAAAACTTAATAATCTTCACAACCCCATACTGATAATCACTAACTATATGTTTTCTATCACAGAAAAAGATTTCACAGATAGTATGAAATATTTTATGTTATAAGTTAGTTAAACAAACAGGAAATATATAAGGAAACAACTCTGTATTTAGCTTTCTAACATACAAACTTTTACAACGAAAAGAAAAGAAACAAAACGAATCAACAATACATGATCATTTAAAGAAGCAAATTGAATTTCATACATAATCATATGTTATCTATTAAAGAGTGTGTATTTCATTCCCTCGTAAAACATAAAATGAATAATATATTATTGATAATTGCAGGTTAATAGAAGTTAAATAGAAAAGTTCAGTAAAATAACTGAAGAAACGTTTATACTACTTAAAATAATTGGGTTTTTTTTTTCTAACCAGTCAGCTTTTCAACAACATCCTTTATTGGATCTGTACATTTAAGCCAACTACATTTTCCAGAACAACATTCTTGACTAGTCCAACAGAAATATCCACCTGCAAGGCATAGATGACATTTACCAGTAAATAATGTATTTAGACCACAGTATAATTGTTCACAACATGGAGAAAACACAGTTTTGGAACAGTTTTGTCCTATTGTACGGCATTCACCTGAAAAGATAATTTCAAAAAAAAAAAAACACAGACCATTTGACAATTAGGTATAAAAAGAATGAAATTAGATACAAAAGTTAGTCTGTTTAGTTTGAAAGAAGCATCATTGAACATACTTCAAGTGCTTTTATTATATGATTATATAACTCTATACCTAAGTTTACCATAAAAATAACGTTCCATAGTCTAGTCTAAAATATCTCAATTATATACCTACAGTTTGTTATACTTTGTTGTTTGAAGTTTTACTATGTATATAAAAGAATTAAACTGTAAATTCATTGAGTATCACGAAATTTTATCCAAGAGGTTTCCACACAAATGTGGACTATATTCAACACTTTCTCCATGATTAATCTTCTTTTATTTCTAACGATTTTCCGGTTGACATTAACCAATGTCAAAAAATTATTTCTTAATCATAGAAATCTATACAAAATTATACTTCAGTAAATATGAATGAACTAAGAGTGAAGAGATATAATCATTTCTTCTAACATACACGATAAGAAGTTTGTCAAAGAAGGTCTATCATTTGAGGATTAAGAATGGATCCCTTGGATAGAAGAACACGAGTAATTCTACTGAAAATAATCCTTTAATTATAACACAATAGAACGAAACGGCCGTCTAGTGCTTCCACGTTTTCCATGGTGGTCTAGCTTCAACTGACTCATGATCTTAACTATTGAAATTACAAATGCAAATACAAACTGATGATGTGAAATTTTCATGATCTCCTGAAACAGCCTAATAAAATTTGCATATTTTTTTTTTAAAAAAAACCAATGTAAACGATGTCTTATTAGTAAACAATATGATTACTGGTAACTAAGTAAATTTTCATATTTTATCAGTAGTGTTAGAAAATTACCAGATTTTATACATTTAAAATTTGCCATGGGTGCATTCATGCCGTTATCATCTGTAATGTCATTTGAACAGTTAGTAGTTTGTACTTACATTGCTAATTAGGTTTATAAATTTACAGTAATATTACTTTCTTTTACACTTCTACTAATCATCTCACTAATAAATACAGTTAAATGCTGGAATCCGTGAACTAAACATTCAAGACTATCCTAACATCTACGATATTGTTCAAAAGCATACTCATTTCATACAATAACCCAGTGAATACAACAAATTTTAAAAGCATATTAACATTGCACTTGAGAAATTATCGTTTCACAACTAACATATAAAGAACTGTTTTGTAATAGTTGGTTCTTTTACACAATAAGATGGTAAACTTATCCATCTAATTATTTTGTGTACAAAGACCATAGTTTCACGTTTACAAGGAAAGTTAAAACAGTGATTTAAGGAAGGGAAATTACCTGTCAACTAGTTAATATTATTTAGTCAATAATAATTGTCTAAAGTTAAATTAATCACAGTAAACGTCAAGCCACATAGATGAACATGCTGAAAATTTTGATTTGGATCTTGAATTTATCAATGCTAGACCACTAGTGAAAACCTGGAAACACTGGGCGTTCTAGTTTAGGACTCCTCAGCATTGTGTATCCACGATCCCGCATACGAGACTCGAATCCAGGATGCAACTGAAAATTCGAAAAATTAGCTCGATGTTAATGCCACCTCTCGACCTATCGTTTCTTACTTTTAGTTATGTATGTTCCACCATATATGAGAAATACTCATTGAAAAATATCATAAAATGCATGCTTAAAATTTGATTTTCGTTTATAATCTAGTCTAGAAATTAATCTATAAACGTTGTTATTTAGGTCATACTATGATTTCAGTGTTCTATTGCACATTCCTAATAAAATTCAAGAAAGTACTATTACCAATAACAATTGAAGCATTTGGAGAAGTAATAATTTACATACATGTTAACTAAGCAGATTATATTTCAGTCAGATATCAGAAGAGACCTTCTCAACAGAACTATTTGTTCATGTAAAATGTTCACATATGATGTCACATGAAAAGATATTCTCTAAATCCGTCCAATTGCAATATATTAATCTGTGACGAATACTACTTTCGAACAAATTCCCACAAAACCTCCTCAGTAACACTAAAGTCATATGTTCGCTGGTATGTTGCATAGTGATTAATTTATGAAGTTGTACTGGGAAGTCAACGAACTGCGTTCGGACATATTAGCAATGAAATAGCGGTTACCTATGGGATTTATTGGCCAAAACACTATATCGAACTTGACTGAGGTGGGAAATGTGTATCGTTAAATGTCAACTTGGTGGCTTATTAGTCAAGTGCTCCACACGAGTCTTGTTGAGTTACTGAGTTCTATCCCTGGAATGGTTGGGAGTGGTCACTTCTGTGAAGTCTACATTCAATAGATATATTCATTGCTATTTGGTTCTCAGTGGTCACTAGGTTAAATCAAAACCACCTACATATAAATGTATCTCCATTATAAATAATCAAAAAGCATTTGATTGTATCAATATGACTTACCTGATACAACATTGAAATGACTAAACATGACAATAATTACCATTAATATTACATGATAAAACTGATTCATAATGATGGTTGAAAATGCAAACAGTTATGATATAATAGCAATAATAAGGAGAAATATAGTCGTTTAAATTTATATGTCATCCGCTACTAACGTCACATATGTATATATATACAAAACCAATGTGTCAGGAAATAAAAAATCCAATGTGTCACATGCACAGAATTCATTCCATAATTATTAATGAATATTCAACAATTAAGTTACATTCCATGTAGGGATGACTGTCAAAATACATTTGTAAACAACATAATAAAGATTTTACCGTTTATATGTATAATAATAATAATAATAATAATAATAATAATAATCAGTCATGCATTAAGAACTAAATGTTACTACGCTAAATAATAAATTTATCAAAGCCGAAGTTAGTTACCATAGAAAGAACATTATCTAAGAATCAGTATTCCTTATAACTCTATACATATATTGTGGTATGGGTTACTTATATCCTTATAAGTAGTATATAACGGTAGTCAGGCATAGGATGTATTTCAGTAGAAGATCGATAAGGAAAGAATGGAAACAGAACACAATTAGGATGAAAATACATGAACAATGAAATCCGAGACAATGGACTGAAATTTGCAGAAGAAACAGTCAAGTTTGAGACTTGGATTGATATATTGCAAATTAACGAGTTCCTATATGGTTCTCAGATTTTAGTGAGATGCTCTGTAGTTGCGTGAGCAATACATTCGATTGTCCATACTTGTGTTCTAATTTACTATAGAATGAATATAGATTTAAATATCGGTTACATCACAAGCTGTTACCAGTTGGCGAATCAATTAAAATCAGCGGAAAATTGTCGGTTGTTTCGTCTAAGTTTGAGAATTACCACTGCTAATCCACGGATCTAATCCAAAACATTTAGGTCTTGTAAAAAATATGACATTATTTAGTCAGTGATTTGATATTGACTAGTTTAGATCAAAAATGTTAATCTGTTGATTTATCATTTTGGAGTAATATCACCACTATTATTCCATTATTTAAATTATAAATTCAACAAAGTATTCACAAGTTACCCTCTTCACGTTCTTCTTTCAACTGGTTTTCTGTAAATAATCAAGCCAATATTCAAGTATAAGCTTTGAGTTTGAGGTTGTGGAGATTATTGAATTTCATTGAAATCATGAAACGATTAAAGTTACTCACCGAAAATCTTGGAAGATGGTCGCGTGACATCGTGAATATTTTGAAGTTAGACATTAACACCATTAGATGACGGTTCAGTGGTCTGGAGGTTAAGCACTCGAGAGCGAGATTGAAGATCCAGAGTTTGGATCTCATGTTCAGAATAGTGGATGTGTATTACTAAAGATTCTTTTTCTAGAACAAAGCAGCCGTCTACTTTTTCCAGGTTGTCACTGATGGTTTAACATTGATCGGTTCACGATTTCAATGAAACATAAGTTTTGAATTTTAGCCTGTAGGCTAAACGTATTTATTTACTCTATATAAAAACTGGTTGAATGATACGTAAACAGATAACATTCCAGCTGGATGTTTAGTCATTTAACCACTGTTTACCAGAGTTTTGGATTTTTTTAATACTAAGTATCATCAGAAAGTATACTGTTGTTTATCATGTACTGTAACTTCGTGGATTGGTTGAGGTTAGACATTAACACCATTGGATGCCGGCTCAGTGGTCCAGGAGGTTACGGGTTCACGCGCGAGACTGAAGGCTCTGAGTTTGAATCCCGAGAGCGGGATCGTGGATGCGTACTGCCGAAGAGTCCCACAATAAGACGAAACGGCCGTCCAGTGCTTCTAGGTTTTCAGTGGTGGTCTAACATCAATCGATTCATGATCTCAATCAAAAATTAATCAATTAATTAATGCAGTCAACACAATAAACATGATGCACCTAACAATCTTTCGTGATCATTATCACAAAAATGTGGATTTAGGTATAATTATTAGTATTTAATATGAATGAGATATATGTATAGTAGGCAGTAGGTCTAAAGTTGGATTCATTGATTTATTTTCATTACAAGTCATGAATTAAACCAATTAGCCATTTCTCAATGTTTACATTTAATTTAATAATTGAATTCATGAGTCAATTGAAGCTAGACCACCATGGAAAACCTAGAAGCATTGGACGGCCGTTTCATCCTAGTATGAGACTCCTCAGCAGTGCACATCCACGATCATTTAACATTATTTAAGTGTTATATTAATTAAGTAAAAATAAAAAAAATCACGTATGTTTAAACAAATTTTCAATAAAGTTTATTAGACATTAAATGATCTGGATTCCTTCTCACTTTAAAAACTAAACGATATATTCCATATGGATAGAATACATGTCCGTGAGTTTTGCTTTCAATGTTTAATCTTTATGCGATATCAAGTATTTTCTGCTATTTTTCCATATATTTACTTGGTAATTATTACATATCAGAGCACAATTTTTACTAAGGATTATAAATGTTCTTTTTTATACAACAAGTTGGAATGTACAACAGTGGCTTGTTCGTAAAAGGCATATGTAGATAGCTCTAAATGATTTTAATGATAACCTGAATGGATTTAAAACTAAAAATTTGAAGTCCTCTAGTTTAAAAATAAACAAAATAGTGTATATTGGATGGTGGTTGAAGGTAGTCAACAGGAAACCCCGGACCTTGATTTCATGCTACTTGATACTCATCAGTAAGGTGTACCTGTAATCTTGAGGGTACGGACTCTCCCTGACGGATTCGATCCCGTGTTACTCATCTCTACAGTCAGAGACATTACCGCTGAGCTATCAAGGCCGCGAATGATCTCCTGTAGGACTGGCATATATTTACAATTGATTGATCACTGGGTGGTGATCAATGTCATGTATGTCAGGTTGTTCTTGGTGCAGACCGAATCCTATCAACCAAGTTACAATGTGGCTACATGACATTGATCACCACACAGTGATCAATCAATTGTAAAATAATGTTTATAATTTACTACTGTTTTAATCTAAGTTTATTTCGCTAGAATAACCTTAGTCTTTGAATTTTTAAGATAAACTTGTCGGCTAATTTTATTAAATAGATTCAGTAATATGAAATGTAAAGATGTAACTGATGTGATTAGTAGCTTCACTAAATTAGTTAAAATGATTAAAACACCAAAAAATCACCGGAGTTAAAAGTCGTTACAGTTCTAAAAAAAGCAACGAAAATCTTTGTGGCGATTGGTCAAATTCAAAAGAAGCTAATTTTTATATCATCGGTCAATCATCTATAGCTGAATGAGATCTGAAGTTTTTCTAAGGAAGGGAAGCGATTAGTTTGTGTTCAACTAGCAGTTTGACAATGATTCAAATGAGGTCTGAAGTTTCATAAAACTTGTTGAGGGAAAATATGACTGATATAAACAGTGTCCTACAATTCCTTTTTGACGACTAAAATATCTTCATCTAAAAAAAGAGTAAATACCCATGATTAAATATGAAATCAAATAATCATTAAAGAATGGTGAAAAATAAGCAAATAATGATGTCATGATACAAACCAGATGTTCCACTTTAGCTTTGATTATTAGCAGTGATAATATCAACAGATCTCTCTAATATACATTTTAAGTATTAAATACAAACAACCTGAATGAATTATTGTGTATATCACAATGAACTAATAAATGTAGTGAGAGAGTAACGTTTAAAAACCCGTGAAGATAGTACAACTTGTTAGATTAACAACTTATGTGTTTATGTGACAAGGTAAATAGTTGCACTGGGTTATATGTCACTTAATATAAATTAAGAAATAAATTTATATCAAAACAACTTTCAAAGACATTCTTTTTAGTTGAAATTTTAGGATTCGTAGAACTAGGAACAGCCTCTTCAAACAGGTGGTATTTTGATAAAAGCTCCTCAGCAGTTGATATTCAGTGCAAGTGCCTTCTAGTGATGAATTACATTTATTCAGTCACCGTGATCTTAACCAGACCACCGCTAAAATCGTGTAGACACGGGATCCCCGTTTCGACCAAATATGGGAGTTCAACCATGTCGGGTGTGATACAGTTATATACTGTAGGTAAAGGAAGATGGTCGTACACCTTGCTCACGACTGTCAAATAACACGAAACCTAGGTCCAGGGTTTCTTGTCAACTATCTTGAACCATATCTTACATAGTCGCACAATATCATGAGTTGATTGAGGTTATATATCTGCACCACTGAATTCTGACTCAGCGGTCTACAGATCAAGCGTCTGCACTAGAGACCGAAGTTCCCTTGTTCGATTTCCGGCGGTGGGGTCCTGGGTATACACTATTAAGGAGACCTAAAAGTTGGTTCAGTGCTCTCTAGTCTCCAATGGTAATCTAGCTAAGATCAGTTAGTGATTTAAAATATGAATGTTCTACATTCTCTACATATCCGAATGTACTAATAACATATGTTGAAATACTATGAATGTAGTGGTAATGTAACATAGAATGACAATATTTTCACATAAATTATAACAACACATACTTCACTCATTTGTTTAACAGTTTACATTGTCTATCACATTTCCACGTGATAAACCAACTTTGGGGAAAAAATGTTTACATATTGTATATAAAATAGTTTATGTGTACAATATTCGTTCAATAAACAAAATAAATTCTCTAAATATCAAGTATAAAGTGATGTATGATTGTTCCGTGACGTGAAAATAATTCAACAACTAATGATCATGTAAACATATAAAGTAAAAGGCTGAAACCATTGATTGCTGTCTGTCAACTAGATGGTTAACTTATTTATCGTGAAGTTTATGTAAAACACAGTTTTACGATATCTTTCTATTTGTTAAATTAACAAGTAGGTTAAGCGTTCGCGAGAGAGACTGAAGGCCCTGGGTTCAAATCTCACGAGCGCGATAGTGGATACACACTGATGAGGAGTCCCACAATAGGACGAAACGGCCGTCCAGTGCTACCAGGTTTTCAATGGTGGTCTAACATCAATCGGTTCAAGATCTCAATCAATAAATTGATAACAAACTAAAGGAAGCTAAGTTGGATAAATAATTGGCATTTTAAAGCGTTGA